CAGTGATGAGACCACTGAACTGTACCACAACAATGTTCGGTTACGAATGGTCTCTTACCTTCATCAGCTATTAGAACTGGAAGGAAATTGTTGTGGATAAAAGAATAAATTGTTGTAGAGAAAAACAGACAGTACTCAGCAGTTCACACCGTAAGTGAAGATGCTCGTAGGAAATCGAGGTTCAGATGGCTCAGATCAGTGAGTTCAATTCAGCCAAGAACACCCTCAAGACAGGTTTGGAAATCAGGATATCGAGCTTCTAATTTCAGTATGATGCTAATTCAACTGTGCAAATGTGAACCCATTTCTCAGAGCTTTCTCTGTCTCACTTCGCTGCTGGTAAATACTGGGGGTTTTGTTGTTGTCTGGTTTGTGTTTTGGTTTGGTTTTTGTTTTGTTTGTTTGGGGTTTTTGTTTGGTTGGCTTTGGATTTTGTTTTGTTTTAAATAAAATTTCACACCTAAGATGCTGCTAGACAAATAATAATTTTTAGTAAAGTATTACCAAGACCGATGGTGGAAGAGATGGAAACAGAACACCTCCTTTCAGAACTACTTCTTCCAGCTCAGCTCTTGAACCTCATCCGCCTCCAATTTCCACAGATACAGGCTGTGCAGAGAGAGTGCCTGAGGTGCCACTAACCTGAAATCTGTTTTTTTTAATGACTTAAAGCTTTAGAAACAGAAGAATTCAGAGTCTGAAAAAATTACATGCAACTAATCACTAATCGGCAAAAAACATCCACACACTTAAAAATTACAAAGTAAACCAGCCTTAACACAGTAGAACTTGCCCAGTTTTAGCGCGGTTGTCAAGGGTACAATGATATTCAGCTGGCTTTGGTAGTGTCAAAAGACAGCGGCGTATGATAACATAAATCCTGATAAAGAACAAAAGCCTGACAAGTGTAATCCTGATGCTGGTGTGTTTCCTTTGAGGATTACTCAGCAATTAAAGATTTCTAACAGTTAGTGTTACATTTCAAAAGGACAATGCTCCAAATTCCTAAGGAAATCAAAAGCCATTTACAGATTCTTCTTGGGTTTCAACTTTTTAGAGAGAAAAAAAGCCATGCACATTTAACTGTATTAACGAGATGAACAGCTTAACATCTAAAAACACTGAAAAGAGACATTATTTCTAGAATGTAAAGCGTGATTTCTTCCACAGCAGAACTGGTATGCCACAGCACTGGCAGATAAGGATTCCTTTTCTGCAATTTATCACTCGTGCTGCCCTGCATTAAAAGAAAGCGTTAGTGCACAAATGCCTTTCTGCACTCCTTTTACTATTTTGCTGCCCAGAAACGACTGGGTATAATCCTACTAATAAGAAGGGGCATTCCGGTTGTTAAAAAGCAGCAGAAAGGATCTTGAATTAACCAAAACATTGCTGTAACTTTCCCCGCTCAGTAGGGCATTTTTGAAAGCCCACTGGTTTGCTGGTAAGATACCGCAGACAACAGTTATATCAGGCAGGTGGCTACCAATAAGTCTAACTATAAACTACGTAAGAGCCCAGCTTTTAAAAATATTCTAAGTTCAACAGCTGTCACTGAGGCCCCTAAGAACTGCCTGGCATTTAGTCATCTTACCAACACTGCAGCCATTCTTCAGGAACCCAATTAAGACAAGTGTTGACTTGCATAAAAAGCTAATTGCATAGAAGATTCTATCAAAGATTCTATCACATCCAGATATTTGAAGGGAGCAGGCAGTATACAAATAACTTTTATTCAGCAGAAGATTATTCTGCAAGATAGCGCTGTTGGTTTTTTTTCCCCTTCTCCTCACCCACTAGTGTCCTTCCAACGATGCAAAAAGCAAAGAACACCCATCTCAACAGATGCTTGGAGTTGTGATCCTGTAACACATCTGGGACAACCTATTTTGCAGGTTGTAAAAAAAAAAAAAATATACTGAATAACTGTGCCAGTCTCATCAGCAGTGCTAGGGACAACACTAAATGTCAAAGCCTGGGCCAGTTTGCCTGATATCGATAGGCATAACAAATAAATGAGTGAAAAGGCATCCTCTTTCTCAGACAACAATGTGTTAATGAGATCAAGATAACAAGAGTAAAAACTACAATTTGCAGCAGTTAACCAAGATCACAACTAAAGCAGCTACATCAAGAGGAAAAAAAAAAAAAGAGAGACTAATATAAGCATTTTAAACAAATAACTAGATCACAACTAAAGCAGCTACATCAAGAGAAAAAAAAAAAAAGAGAGACTAATATATTTTAAACAAATAACCTAGTGAAGAGAAGCCCTTTCACTCTATCAACACACTTTTCTGATTTCCTCTGGGGTCACCTGGGCATGGTAGAAGTGACTCTAGAAGAGTTAACTTGCATTTTACCCTTTAGCTCGCATAACGGTTTAATAAAATTAACATTTCAACATTTTCCCGTAAGTGCATCTGTAGCAAACGGCACCAACAAATTAAAAGATTCCCCCCAAAATGGGTCAAATCATAGTCTCTAGACAACAGGACTTCCGTCAACTCTATTTCAAGTGGTCAATGGTATTTCAAACGGGAGGGATTTCTCCAACAGATTCATCGTTGTCCTTTAAAAACTACCTGGAAGGCCTTCAATCAAATTTTGACTTGTGCTTGAAAATTAACATCTTGTCTGAAATCCTTCATTTTTCAGTGCTTTTCTTCTGAAAGCAGATACTCATCTCTTATGCATATGACACACAGCATTTATGAAGTTCTGAGATAAAGGCAATAAACAAAAATACATCAACTACAACACTCTTGTATTTAGTTAGTGCCCACAGTTCAGAATGACATGGGGAGTCTTGGAGGGGTTTCAGGGAGGAACATGCCATCAGTTGACCAAAATAGCAATCACAAATTCCAACTACTAATTTCATTCCCTGCAAGCACCTACAACCCTCCAATTACGTTACTTTCAGGGAAAAAAACCCAACCCTACAGCAGGCTTTTAAAGGTTTATAACAGATCCTGCAGAAGAGGATAAACAAATATTTTTAAAAGAAAAAAAGTCATTCTACTAATGCCCTCTGCAAAGAACGGCTACATTAATCTTGGCAATCTTTACAAATCCTCCCCCATGTTTTCAAAAGACAGCCAGAGCATCGAGATTCGTTCAACAAATGGCAGCATGAGTCAGTGGGTCTGGGAGCTGTGGGTAGGAAGGAGTAGATGACGTCCACGGAGTCACAAAAGTCTTCAAATGATTCATGTCATAACATGGATCCAGAAAAGCGACTTATGGTTGAGACATAAACTATATGGGTAATTCTGTATCTGTACCTAGGGACTCACCAGCAAACATAGCACTGTTACAGCAAACACAGCCCAGTCCATCCACCAAATCAACCTCTCTCTCCTCACCAGATAAGTGGTTGAGCCAGCACGAAACATTATGCCAAGACCAGCACTAGTGCTCGTACAGGACGTAGCGTTTAGACCGTACGCTCCACTTAAAACTGCTTTCAGAAAGTAGAAGAACAGCTCTGTTGTTTTAACCTGGAAAACTCCAGAAGCTTGACAGTGGAGCTGCAGATCACCGCTGGTGAAAGAAAGCAGGGAAATGAGCAGGAAAACGCTTGTACGTATCAAAACTGACAAATCCTTATTCACACACTAAAAGGCCTCATACCAGCATGATTAGTCACAAAAGACCTCAGCTTTTGTTCCTATCAAACCATGTCATTTTACCTTTAATGAGGTATCCCAAGGAGGTAGCCCAAAAAAGAAAAACGAAGAAAGAAAATTTAAGAGCGTGCCTAGCAGCGAAAATAGACCTGCTTCTCCAAATACAGTCCCAAGCCAACAAAACTCCTCAGCCAGAAGTAGACCGATCTTGGGAAGATATCCCTAAATATTGTCCACATACAACTCAATGAATATGGTGCAGTCACCAGTCCCGACTACCTTTGTCTTCTGCTGGGAGTATCACCAGAATTGCCTCTTATAGGCTACTGCAGACACTTCTGAATGATATACAATTTATTTTAAAGTTACTGGACAAGTGAAAGCGAGCTGTGAATACACACTGAAGAGGCCCAGAGACTTCACCCTTCTTACGAGAAAACTTTTTACTTCTCTCAAGAAAAACAACTCAGATGTTAGGTCAGCTCCCAGCCTCACACAGTACACAAGATCCCTGCCACAAACACTTTACAATACGGATACCAGTCTCTGACCCACCTACCATCAGAGACAACCAGGTCTCACACGCTGATGTTGTACTCCAGCTCCAGCTCCAGAGTCCTCCATTATAGACGTAGCCAGTGATCAAGAAAAAGAGGCAAGGTAGCAGCGGAGAACGTCTTATACCAGTGGGTAACTCTCAACTGCTGGATCACGCCACTTTCAAAAACACCACCTTTTGCAACCAGCACAATCTTGAATCAGCTCTCTAGAGGAAACCAGCCTTGTACTCCTCCTTCCTCTTCCTCTTGATTCTATATAAACAAGAATTTCTTCCCACACTACTAACTTCCCATACTAGAAACCACTCTCGTGCTTTCTTTATTCAGAGGTATGCTAATTCTGACTATAAACAGATACACATTAAATGTTTATAGTTTTCAGCTCAGAAAGCAGAAGAGGATCTGAACAACAATCTCAGAACTTCAGAAACCTTCTAATTTTAAATACAACAAGCCATGCATGTTTTATGACCTAGGACATTAACACATTTCAGTTTTTCAACTACATCTGAGAAACAACAAATGAACATGGGAGAGAAATTAAACATGGATAAACACTACAATTTTGAAATCAAAAGTTGCTTTAATACCTTTTAATAACTGCACATTCCCTGACCAACCTGATGCAGCTCTGAAGTTAGCTCTGCTAACTCGGAGGGCGTTGGACTAGACACTTCCAGGGGCCCCAGCCAAACTCAGTCTTTCTATGATACTAAATTTATTCAAATCACTCTTTAGTGCACACTCCTGCAATTCTTCCTGAACTATTCTAACAGGCTGCTCTCCTCTCAATGTGAAAAAAAGTAACCCGTATCACAAAAGAGCATTGCGCAGGGCTTTTTGGTTTGTTTGTAACTTTTTTTATGTTTCTTTTTAAACCACGTATAATAATCCCATTCATGTATTATATGAAGTTTCCAAGTAGAAGGGATTTTCCATCTTTTCAACTTGTGAAAGCCCTTAACTAAGATTAACAATTGATCAGAGCAAGATTTTGTTTGTTTAGTGTGGAGTCAATACCAATTTCTCAGCCGAACAATTCATTTTTGAAACTGGCTCTTACCACTCCAATTAAGTCTCCTCGGCCATATTCACCCGTCAGGTGCTTTTTTCCATCATCCATCCGTATGACTGAGCGAAGTCGACCATTCAACACAATGTACGTGCAGTCTGACTTGTCACCCTGCCTGCAGAAAGAATAATCAATAATGAGGATTAGTGAACCATCTTTGCTCAGCAAATGCATCTAGAGTCTTTCAATAAGTTGATCATCTTCCCCACCTGGCTTAGAGGACATAGGAAAATGTTTAACCAACAGTTAAACATAACAAGCAAACAAGAAACTGAACAGGCATCTGTTAAAAGGTGACTTGGAAATACATTCAGTGTTTAAATATACACAACCGGTTAATGTTAGGTCTGGAAGCAGATGACCAGAATGCAAGTGGTCTCTAGGGGAGACAACAGGCTCATTACTGGTTACAGCAGGAGCTTGCTCTCACTGGAAGGTCAATATGGATGCATAGAGAAATTCTGCAGGTCCTGAGTGGCTCAGGACTTGGATTCTTTTCAGTGCACACATCTTAGTCTATCAGGAAGGTTTTGCTATATCAAGTTTGCATGGTTAAGAGTGCTGTTTAGCATGCAGATTTCCAGCATAACCTAGTACACGGATGAAATGCCATACTTCTGGTAGTGGAGTTAAAACCAATACAAGGAATTCTGAAAGATTTTAACAAGATTTTGACAGCTATGACTGCTTTGAAGCACAAAGTAATCCAAAACTTCCGTTAGCATTAGTGCTGCAGGTATAGTTATAAAAATCAAAATTACAATTATATAGAACAGGTACTAAATTAGACCTTTATTCTCCTACCACTGCAGCGACCTTATAATGGCTCAAATGTATCCTAGTACAAAAAGCCAAAAACCTAAGTTTTCCCAAGGATAACTTTTGCCCCTTAAACATAAAGTGCAGTGCCTATTTTCAATTTACTGTTGAATAAGCCTAACTGAATCACCTTTGAGTTTTGTTGTTTATTTTGGAAAGGCTGAAAAACTCTTTGAGCAATAGACATTAATGCTCTTAACAATGCAGAAGCTACCACCAGAACATACAACTGTCTCTGTCTTGATCGATTATGTCACTTTAAAAGCTTTCTGAGAAAATACAAAGGATGAGGAACAGTATGAAAGAATTTTAATAACACCTGGAGACAAGACACTGAAGCAATGTTGATGGGTTCTGCACAAAGAAAATAATCTCAAAATAGGCAAACAGATAAACCTGATGGAATGGTTGATAAATTTAGTCCAATGAGTTTCTTATTCTATATAATCACCAAGGGAGCACAGTTCCTTAACTATGAAAACTTAAATATTCAACAGACAACATACAATTTTGTCCATATCCCACCTGTAAACAGCTCGTCCAGCCTCAACCTCCATCCAATCCAGGGCAAAGTCAATTTGCCTAACAAATGGGGACATTCTCTTCACAACAGTATGGGCCACACCGAGAATTACGCTTGGCTGCTCCCGCATTATCCTAGGGGGGGGGAAAAAAAAAAAATGTTATTCAAGTACTTCCCCAGAATAGGAATAGATACACACAGGCACAATACCCCAATGCAGCTGTTGCCAATGCAACTGGGCAGTTACATAGGTACTAATTCAGAAGTTAGTACATTCCCATATATACACTCCACTCTCGCCACAACCACACTACATCAGTGATAATTTGACGAAGTATGGGGCTGGCCAGCCTGCCAACCTAGCCCAAATTGAACTCAAAGTTGACACTGTCCTAGTAGCAGTAGGACTATGCTAGTAGAGTGCTAGCTAGTCCTGCAGCCTGGCCCAATTCCCTTCTTTAAGTGAGCAGCGGGATGGACGGGAGCCATGCTAGCTCTTGTTTATGAGCCACCCTTCAAACCTCCACTTCACCCAGGTCTCTTATAACTCAGGAAAATGTTCATACTGTCCGGAAGATTGTCCCTCCCTGCCGTTCTGCACTTCTCAGTCTCTCTCACATGCACATGCTCGCAGTTTCCCCTAGATTTTATTTCAGGTCAGAACCTTACTATATTTGAACTCTGATGCTCTTAAAAATAAGAGACCTGCTCTGTATTAGAAACGTTCCCTTTTCCCTGTTGCAAAGACCACAAAGAACTGAAACATCTCCTAATAAAGCTTCTGATCTACACTCTGAATCTTTTGAGTGATGCTTAAAGTCTTTAGCAGTAGAGTTACCATGTAATTCAATACTTTTCCCAAACTGAAAAACTTTGAGAATGTTCTGCCAGTGGTAACTGCAAACTCGACACTGACTGTGAGGCCTGAGGGAAATCGCTCTCACAGACACCTGATAACTGCTCATGAATGTCTTATTTCTCATTCTTTTTAGCCTAAAGATCACTGCATCCTGTTACCTTGTGAGTAAGCACTCAAATTCTTACTGAAGCACTACTCCACAGGAGTGAACTGATCACGCACATCTCTAAGTGGTGTACCTGTTAGGACATCTTATCTTTTCTGTTCCTGTGCAGCATCAAGAGCAGTTGATGGCAGACTACTAAAAAATAGTTATTTCACAAGAGGCAGCACAATTCAGAAAGAAGTAGGTAAGTGTATGCAGACCTGGTACGTGAAGTGCATGCAGATAGAGATGAGGGAGCTACATTAAAGCCACACATGGGCAGAAATGAAGAAGAGAAAACAATAAATACGTAGTATGTTTTCTGCATCAATGTTCCATCAATCAATGAAGATACCGGACTGCCATAAGACAATCTACTTAGGAGACCCTGTGTATGCAGGAACTCTCACTAAGCACAAAACGTGTGAGCTTCGTATCTTCGTATCTAACCTCGCACCCCAAAAAATAGGGAGGAGGAGAGAAAGGCACGGAAAGAGCACTGTCAGTCTTTGTTCCCTAACTGAAATACAGTTCCTTGTGGACCACTGTCACTTGGCAGAAATGAGAGAAAGCCTGAGTAGAGATCCATAATCCTAAAACGTGGTAGTAAAAGCAAACTTAGCAGGAGCCAGGATGAAGCACAGAAACTGCCCTGAAGTTTCTAAAACATCAGATCTCTCATTCATTAGTCCTACAGCTGCAGCAAGAGACCCAGAGCTAACAGCGACCATAGGTCAAATGCAGCACACAGGGCACTTCAGGGAGCTTTCATGTTTATCTGCTCTCCTTACCCAATGCCTCAAATTACTACTTTTCACAATAACGAAGCTTATAATTTCTTCGGCTGAAATCCCTGAATTTGAAACGGAAGAGATTCGTAGGCATATATCCCTATTCCGTATTGAGCTCATCACACTCACACCTCTGCACTCATATGTGCTACCAGGCAAATTAAACTGAACACCAACTCTTGCATTTAGCACAGTTTAAAATCCAGCCCTCAAAACAGGACTACAAAAAAGCAGAACAGCTTTCCTCTCCTGCCCCTCTTCTCTTGCCCTGAGGTTTCCATGCCCCCTCGCCCCCATCTCCAACCCAAGATGCCTACAGACCACCTTGGTTTTGATAAGCTATTATTGCACGTGAAAACAACATATTATCTTACAGAAACTTTAGCACGCTAACGTAACTTGGACCAAAGGTCAAAGGAGCTGGAAAAGGCAGCCCAGGATAAGCACTAATAAACAGACAGCCCTAATCCCCCAACACACACAAAACACCCAGCCCTATCCCCCTCCTCAGCTGATCTAAAAGTTAAATAAACCCCCTGAAAACTCCTGAATTTAGCTCATTGTTTTTACACTTCTTGCTTGTTTAGCCCTCAAAGTCTCCTCCCACACAGGCTGTCTGCTATGATCAATAAAAGCCATTTACTCCTCTACCTCCCTCAAGATATGTATCTTAATACATAATGCCTTCAAAATGTAAAATACTAACAGGCTGCTTTTATTTCCATCTGGAGCTCTCGGATATTTCACCGAGTGCTATACAGCTGCTACAAGAGTATTAGCATGGAAGGTAAAAGCCCGCCTTTACGCACAAGAAGAGAAAAGCAGGTTTTTTTCCCCCATTATCAGCCAGGTTTCCTTCCTTTCACCTGCGTGTTTTCCTCTTTGCTCTTCTGCTTTGCACATGCCTGACACTGGGAAAATTAAAAGCCAAAGCTCTGTATTACAGAAACATGTTCCTGAAGGGATCCTCAGGGTTCTTTATTAGAAAGCTCACTAAATACAGTGATGAAAAGGCTAAACTACTGTGGGTGAAAGCCTGGGACTTACGCAGATATTTTTGTGGACGCGGATCCAATTTGATATTCAGCTTGGCTGGCAATACAAAATAATCTGGCAAGCACACATGATTAAGACTCTAAACTGTGAAATTTACTGAACCAGAAAATGTGACGAGTCCCTAGTACTGCAGAGCCTGAACATAGTCCCTCAGGAGAGCCTGGTGACAACTTGATTACACTGTTCATCAGGAGACACCAACAGTTGCAGTGTAGGCACTGCACACTTACTACATCAGTTCAGCAAAACAGCAAAGCATTTAAGGTATAGACTATATAATTAGCTTGTGTCACCCCTATACTTAAACTCTACATTTACAGATAGTTATTTAGTCATGTTAGTACCACGTAAAAGGCTCCTGCCCCGAAGTTTCAGTGAAAAGGATTTAACCTGTTGTCCAACATCCAACATGCAATTCTAAACCCCGGGCTACTTCCATTACTGTGCTCTTTGCCTAATGGCAACTATTGACCATGTTCTTTCTGCTTTGCCCTCTCATTAATTATTGAGAAAAAACACATACAGTGTTCCAGGGCAGCTCAAAGAAAAAGAGTACTATATTTGACAAGAAAGGAAGAAAGGAATTTTGGAGAATAACGGAGGTTCTTGTCAAATTTCTTCTGGTCAGTAAGTAAGATAAGAGCCAAAAAAAAAAAAAATTTTTAAAAAAAAAAAGCATTCCTGTGAGATTCTGAGCAAAGGAGAAGGCCTAACATTGTAGGACTATGAACACAGAATTTGGCACAAAAAGTGGAAAATAAATTTATTTCTAATTTTATCAACAAGTTTTTCTTTCTCATAGAGTTCAAAGCAAATATGAACAAACTTGAAGAAACCTCATGCTTTTCAAAGACTTTCTACAATGACACTTAAATATGGGAACAGGAGTTAGAAGCGATACAGAACATGGGTTTCAGGAGAAATTGTGAAGGTGGAATGCTGGAAGATCACAGAGATCGTAAAATGCAGAGAACTGGCAATAGACTTGTTAAAGAAGAAAAAGAAAGATTTGCAAAGGTCCCAAAAATGATGAAGAGGTGATACAGTGATGGGTTTGAGATCACTGACCGGTAAGGAGTTAATGGAAGCAAAAAGATAAGTTGGAATAAATAAGAGACAACTCGATTCTCGAGAGAAAAGAGAAAACTCGGGAAAATGAGCTCAAGCAAATGAGTCAATCCAGGACTGATTATCAAAACTGAAAAAGAGGAGGAAAAGGTAGAATCTGACTGGTTGGCTGAGACAACAAAATGAAATTTAAAGTAAAAAACAAGTGAGAAAACAACAGTAGAAAAAGAAAGAAAGAAAAAGCAGAAGTTTAGAAAAAAGAGATCCGATAGTGCATGGAATGGCACAAGTGGGGAGCATCTATCAGAAATTAGGTCAAAGAGTTGACATACACCGCACAAACCTGGAAGAAAACAGCTAATCAACCAAGCACACTGCTGAGAACAGCGTGTTCGGTTTTATTGCACGCAGCCTCTTGCCTGAGGTGAAAAACCAAAATCACAGAATAAGATTCTGTGGTAGAGTTGATTAGGAATACAAACAATTAGAATTATTTAGAAAGTAAGAAGTACACAGAAATGTACAACGTGATAGTGGCCTAGAAAACACAACCTCAGAAAGTCCTACACATAACACAGGACTGATGGCACATTCCAGCAGAAGTTGAAAAAGAGATTAGAAAAGGAAATAGAGGTATTTGACACAAATTATGTGTGTGAACTAATAGTAAGTCTTAACAATAGGATCATGGAATAAATCAAGAGCATTAATCGTTAATATTGGACAATGAGGCTAACCACAGTCATCATATCAGGTTTGGGTGCGTGTCTTTTAATTAAGAAATACCTATAACACCTTTATAAGAAATACCTATAATACCCTTTAAGCATTAAGTCACAAGTCATGTACTACTTCCAAGGTCCAGAAAGAAGCCTGTCTTGCACAGGGGCATTATTCTTTGACCTATTCTATTAGTGAGCATTGAAAACCTACAGTTACACCAAGACCAATCACTCGTAACACATCCACCAGCCTGGGCTGTGTTTGGAAACAGTACTGGGGTGGTTCTCCAGCAAAAAGGAATAATGAATCTAAAAGAACGGGCCTGGCAAAGAAGCACTTAACCCAGCAAAGCACAGGCTCTGGCCAGACTTTCTTCTTTGGATTACAAAGTATATGAGTCTTGGGTCATAAATCACACCCCATTGGGTTAAGCGCTCTATAAACCTGGAGCAAAGGAGATACCACCATTTAATATTACCATGTTCCCTGCATTACCACTTGCTGGAGAGAAAGGTATCTGATAGATGGGTCAGAGCTCATCTGAGCACTTAAAACTCTCACGTAAGCTATCTGGTTTGCTACAGGATGTATTGTAGCAGTACTATGCCACACATAAATCCAGAACTCCCATTTGTTCAAAAAGGCCATAAAAAATTTAAAAACTTTAAAAAAAAAAAAAAAAGAAAAAAATCAATATATGTTTTCATGGCAGAACTCACTCATAGAAATGGGACTTGGAAATAGACAGGAAGCTGCAGTCCCGATTGGCCTTGATGGTGAAAATCAGTGGTTCCCCAGTCAGGACAGCGAGCTGGCCTACAAGTTCTCCTGGATGGGTAATGAACAGACAGGTGTCCTCTTCCGAGTCTACCTTCCATTGGTACACGTGAAGCATCCCCGAGACCACAAAGCGAATATTAACATCCTGGAGAAAATGGAAAAAGAGCTCAATAAAATCCCCAAAGATTTTAAAAGCAATTATCACAGTGACAGAACTATCATGACCGATCTGTTTTCCAGAAAGCTCCTTATATTTTTTGAACAATTAGGTGATAAAATAAGACACAACAGTGAATTATGAAAAGCAGGTTATGAATATTTAAAACTAAGCAGCCACAATGTTGAAAAATGTGTTTTTCTTGGTATGGTTATGAAAAACGAAGTCTGCATCTCTAAGATCTCAAGAAATAACAACAGAATTGAGAATGGAGATAATGGGGTAATCACAACAGCATGATGAGGTACATCGCAGTTCAGCAGAGCAGACTACAGCAGCACCATAACTGGAGCTGCCCCTCACCTGCTTTGCATAAGCTTGTCTATTTACACAGTAGTATTATAAATTAATCTCGTTATATCCTAAATACACTTTGCTATACACAGTAACACTGGATTTCTACTGTACGGGGGGAAAAAATACCTTACTGCAACTGAGTGCCGTCACCGAAAGCCCTCAATGCAGAGCATGAAAAAGGGCTGCCCAGTCTCCATACCTCCTCAGGAAGGATGGACATATGATACTCCATACCTTCTCATGAAGGTAAGAGCTGAAAGACAGCTCTGGCTACACTGCTACTCTGTGTGGGGAGAAAGGCTGAGAGCTGGGATTGTTTCACCTCGAGAAGAGAAGGTTTGGGAGGGGTCGGGAGGGTATTTTTTTATTTATCATCAATGTGTATAAATACTTTATGGTGGGGGCAAAGACTGGGCCAGACTTACATTCTCCCTACTCTCAGATGACACTCACTCACCTGATCTCCTTGCCTCGATAGCACAGTCCCAGCAGTAACCTGATGCAGTGTCACTTTCCCATTCAACAACGAAGGATCCTGGAGAAGAAAGAGGCGGAGGGTACAATTTACTTGTCGGTGCACATGTAAAGATCCGAGAATGTGAGGAAGCATTGAAATAAAGCAAATAAGAATAATAAATACTAAAGATAATGTCATAAGTACTTGAATCTCTTTAAAATAGGGTGCATGATTTTTATATTTCTCTACCCAACAAACATCTCTTCCAGAAGAAAAAAGGTTTCATTCATTTCAGTTGATCAGACTTAGATTCTTAAGTATTTTATATTTGTCAGTTTTGCCCCCAGACTCTTTTAAGGGTCTACAACAAAAAGAGACCTATATCAGCTGGCATGAAAACCATGAAATATGAAGTTATTTTCAAAGGAAGGTGAAATCAGAAGAGACTGTCTACATCATGGAAGAATCGGACAAGAAGATCTAACACTTGCTTTATCACAGCCCTTTCCTGGTCACACAGCTCAGCTGTGCTGTGAATGCATAGCAGATTTTCATACACACTGTAGACCAAAAGCTTCCCCAAAGTAATGAATTCTTATGTGCATGCACACGTGGATTGCACAGGAGAGTGGGAATTTTCCTCCCGACTGAAGAACACACGGGAGGGGGAGTCTTTCCAAAAGCCTGCCCGCAGTTTGGACCCAACCCCAAACCCTTGCAATGGCCAGGAGTTGATCTCGTTAAGTGCATCAGCTGATGAGATTATTCCTTCCCAGCTCCAAAGCTGGTCACCACCATAATCCTGAGTATGTAACGCAGACAACCACCATGCATGGAGAGAATTTCCTTTTACCTCAAAGAACTGACCATTCAATTTGGTGTCCCATGTGCAGTCAGTATCAAATCCTAATGCTTCAGGCCACCTTTGCTTCAGCAAAACTTTCACCCAAACCAGCAAATCTTCAAAAGCTCAACATTTTATTATCATCATCCAAATGGGTAGGGGCAAAAATGTAGGCTCAATTACGTGATTCTCGCTTTATGCTAAAGAGTGACAGTGCAGTCCTGGTGTCTCGCAGCTTAACCTCTGCAAGGCAAAGCTGGACACTACTGTGTCCAATACTTTGCCACAGAGGTAGAACCTCTAAAAGCAAGAGAGCTGCATGCACAGTAAGATACAATTCAGCGCAAGCAGCATAGCAGAATCTGCCCATAGTCATTAACCTTATTGCCGCGGGAAAACAATATAAAACAGATGTAAACATTTTACCATTGTAATTGTTATGCCAGGTTTATCTCTTTTCATTTTCAGTTGAAAAAAAAATAGAGCAAGTGAAATAATCAGAATTATTCTTTACACCTACAGCTGATAAGCAGAACAGATTTTCATCAAAAAATAGGTTTATTCAAACCAATCTGTTTCATGGGAACATATCCAATGCAAAGAACCTGACAAGCACCTGTCAAAATATTTCAGTTCAGCAATATCAACTCAACTAATTTCTATGATGTTTTTTCTATATTTATACATTTATGGTTGTATAGTATTACCTATACTTAAAGACAAACTTTTAACTGCGAAAGTATCTCACAGTAAGGGAATACAAGCTCCCTAATGAGCTCTACTTACCAATGGCTGGTTTTGGCTGCATTGGCTCTAACAAAAATTGTTGCAAAGATTTTCTTCCTGTCTAAGACTACTTAAGTATTGGAATAGATTGTACACAAAGCTGTGAAGTCCTCATCATTGGAGATCTTTAAGAACAGCTTAGACAAAAACCTGCCAGAAATGACATAGCAATATTTGATTCTGCCTTGGGCATGAAAAGAGACTGAATGACCTCCAAGCAGACCTTGAAATCCTGCTTTTCTGTGGTATTACTACCCAGATTAAGCAACAAAGGAGTTGACAAACAAGATCACAGACAAGATCCATCCTGTCTAGTATCTTCTCTCTTGAATGGGCAAGACCAGCAAACCCAAATTCAGCATTGCATAGTTACAGGGTTTGAGCTAAATGACTTTGCACTGATCTCCTCCAGCCTCCTCCAGCCACTAGCTTTTACAAAAAAGAAGTCGCTAGCACAACAAAATCCATTTCACAGCAAGTTTCTTTCTTCGTGTTACTACAGCAAGTTAGCAGAGGTTTATGATGCAGAAGCAGTAATTAACTGGGACAGACAAATAATTTTTTGTCAAAGGAAGCGATGCAATTCCTTTATGACCCACGCAGAAGACATGCCCTGCAACATTGTTTGACTCTCGTAACAAAACTGCAGATAAACCTGAAAACATGTAAAAGTTGTATGACAGAGAAAACCACTCATGACAAAGACCCAAGGAATTCAAGTTATTTAAAACAAAAGAAAAAAAAAAAAAAGAAAATCTTAATTCTGAAGTCAGATACCTAAGGGTCTTAATAATACTGCCTCTCTCCTATTGTAAATTATCCCCTCCTCTCTCTCTCTCTTACAGTCTCGTGGAAAAAAAACCACCACCAAACAACCAAAGAACAAAACACCACCACCTGTCATGAAAACATCTTGATTTTATTCACACTGACTGGCTGCTCTGAAAAATGACATCTTAAAATGTCTCCAGCCAGCTAAGAAGTAAAAGATCTGAGATAATGTTTTAAGAGAAGAGCTTACAGAATTCATCTTCTTCCTTGATGTAAGTAGTATTGAACACAAATATTTTAAATACAGTAAGATTTTTCATCCATTGCCTGTAGAAGAATCAACTTTTGCTATCCTCATAGAAAAAATAAACATTGACCTCTAAGTGAGATTTCTAGCATTTGGCTACATTCCATCAGATTCTTATTTGCTTGCGAAAAATTGAGTTGCTATAATACCAAAGTTTGAAAAGCCTATCTTATTTCATTATTATTTAGATCTTCATGTTAAAAACGCTGCTTATTAGATGCTGCATTTTAAGGATACTGTTCCAATTAACTTCAACTCTGATCTGTTTACTTGCTAATTACTGAGAAATTTATTCTAGATTAAAAAAAAAAAAAAAAAAGGGGCTGTAATCGGTAGCTTCAGTGATCTTGGAATTTTTGCTCATGATCCAATAGGTCTAAAAAGGAAGACATCGGTTGTGTATTGGATACAAACTTTTGTCACAAGAGGCGTCTGAGGCCAGTCCTATCAAGAACAGAAGGCTGAGCAGAACAGATGAAAGTCCTACTTCACTCTATCTGTAACAAGAATTTCTTCCAAAATAGTCTGTAGCCTTTCATGAAGATATAAATGCCTGAAAAAACTGAAAATTAACGTAACAAGACAGTTAAGTTTCCTGCAGACTATCAGTCAGTACTGCACCCCTTAGGCAAATCAGCGACAACGTAGAGTACATATGTCGAGCCTCACTACTGGTAACTGAAAGATCATGACCAAGATTTTGAAGTTGCAGGGGGAATAATTTGGAAGTCAGCAGGGAATGTTAAAATCCAGAAGTAAAATCTTTTAAGTTCTAGCAAGTGTCGCTTGGTGAGAGCTCTTAAGGCAGAGGAGGCTGCAGCAGCTGTGCCCAGGCCTCTGGCAGCATCAACAGACTTGAGGTATTGAAATACATGCTGTAATAAAACTAGGATACCTGTAACTGATTTAGACAGATGTACAATTTTCCTGAATTGTCTGATTAGCTGCATGAACAGATACACCTCTGTAATGAAATGTAGCTGGAATCATAGGAACAATGAAAACAAACATTTTCATTCCTTCTTACAACAAGAAGGTGATAAGCAGGGGCTGAGCTCAATAATGATGACTGCGAGGGCACCAAGCATTTAACTTGGACTGGGCATGGCACAGTCACTCAGCTGTGAAATGCACTCATAGCCAATGGCCAAACACAGAGATTCAATTCCAAAAATCAAACGAGGCACTCAGATGCTATGCCAACAGGATTAATAGATTCAGCAATCACCTGAATGCCTTTACATAACTTCTTCACACAGTATGTGAGAGAGTGAAATTACAAGGCAGCAGAAATTGCACGTTTACTTCTCACAGGGATAAATCCGTACACAGTGAAAAAAGATTCATGCAGTGCATTTCAGTATGGTCTTTTCAAATGGCAGAATAATTCAGATTTATTTCAGTCCTCCTAATAACTTCAACAGACTAGAGAATAAAACATTCAGATAGTCTACAGTGTACTAGGGAGACAATTTACTTTTTAGTGCCTGGCAGAATGAGTTGAAAAGCAAAACCAAAGCCATTTCTTCCTGCAATAACTTACATCGAGTTTCATCAAGGTGGAAAGGTCTTTCTTTGCTGCTTCAATGATGGCATCAGTGTATTTGCTACTACAGGAATCTTGCACAGCACTGTAATGGAAAACGGCTGAAGGAGTTTCTGTCACTGTCACAGTCTTCTTCAATATTGACTGCAAAGAACAGAGGTACACAACAAGTATCAGTTTAGATGTTATAATTGGCACCTACCCAGCAAAAACTTGCTGTATCATCTGTATTCTCTATCCACCACAACGGGTGGCCTGAAAAAAAAAAAAAAGTGTGGTTTCCAAAAAAGCAACAGCTTGCTAACTTCATTATCCTTGTATTTTTCTGCAAAGCTTGACAAGTCAAACAAAGTTACTCATCACAGCTTGCAAAAGGGAAGAATAAGAGACTTTTCAGAAACTGGGCAGCTGCCAGTTCGATAGAACTAAAACTTGATCAACACGATACACAAAGACGGAGGAAAAGATAAAGTGTCTGTCAAGGTCACACTGAGCCACAGTTTTTCTTCAGATTTTGGTTTGCAGTTTTATAATTCAAGAGCATTTTTGTGCTCTTAACTTCCAGGTCACTATTCATAAAAAAGCAGACCACAAAAAGAAAAAAAGGTTTATAAAACATGACTGAAAACCCACAGGAAGTTCACAGGCTGATAAAAGTTTTTAATTCCTTGCTGCAAAGTAGGTCTGACAAATTCACCTTTCCAAATAATCCTTTTCATGAGTCAGAGGAAAATCAATACCTAAAATCAAGAAGTTGCAGCAGTGCTTTCCCATTACTTGCCAAGGGAATCTTGACAGAGTTTCAAGATCTGCACTGAAAAGCCTAAACAGTCACCAAAATCTACTGAAACAACTCTAAAGTTAAAATACACCAACACAAGACACCAAATATCACAACTTCTACAGAGTTGCAAGGGCAGCGTTTCAAAGTAAGGGAGAAAACATTTAAATTACTCAAAGAATAATAATGAGTAAGGAAGTACAATGCAAGAAACATGCTGGAGTCTCCAAAGGAGAAGACCTACCTTGCCCACAACAGGACTGCTGGCGGTGTCCTCCAAGCCAAAGTGCACTCTGGCTCTTTCATATGCCATGTCCATGTCTGACTTTGCACCACTGGAATTATCTACGAGCAATATAAAAATCTTTTTTTAAGCATCTCCTTTATTACAGTTTCTCAGAAATAGAAATAGCAGATAGTACACGAAGTTGAGCAACTTTTTGTCTGTTTGTTTGTTTGTTTGTTTCTGAAGCTGAGGATAAAATAGGAAGTGGCATCCTCATATTCTTATTTATTTCCTAGTTCCTTTTGACCTGGAAGATCTGACGGGAACTTTAAATCTTCTCATCTGAGCTCATGTATACAATATGTCCCAAAATTCCCACATCCACTCTTGTACAAAGTACAATAATTATTTCAGGGTAGACAAAACAGAGTCATTCGGATCTGAAGACTACCAGGAAGAAGCAAATCCTCCAAACAGATTTTCCTCATTGTTTTCAGGAAATTATTTTTATTAACCTTTTCCCCACTAAACCAAAGAACTTTTTTTGTACCCGATATATTGCAAGAGCTTTCATAGGGACAATATTATGATCAGCAACTTCTTAAAGTCTCTCCATAGAAAGCATTGCCCGCCGATGTCTAAAATAATTTCAGAGCTTTTCTACAACTTGTCCAAACTTTCAGTGCATGTCATGTGCTGAGAGATACATAAGGAATTCCCTTACAGGTCTTGCTTATTTAATTCATGAATTTGAAGTCACTAACAACTTCTACTCCTTATTTCCCAATTTTAATACATCTTAATTATATTAGCTCCTTGGCTGTCCCATCCACCTTCCAGGAACTTATCTGAGATAATCAATAACGCAAACGTAACTGGGAAACGCTTCCTATTTAATTACCTTGAATAGGATACCCACATATCAGCCTGGTGATTTACAGATGAGTTTAAGAATCGGCAGAGATTGCAATTTCCTTTAACAAATAAACATATTATAATTTCTATCATATTTCTATGCCTAATATATCTCAAAAATATACTGTATTCAGAAAAGTTTAAGTTTTCTCCCTTACGCCTTTTTCCTTCTGTTACTACATTGTTCCTATACTTTTGCTTTTTTTGAATACAAATCGCTGCTCAAAAATAAGATGGGCCATTAGGAAAAGCAGTTGTCTTTCCTGACTGTTGAATTTTGTCACCTAATAAACTCTGAAAGCACTCAAATTTTTAATTCTGAATTCCTCCCCCATTCCCCTTCCTACACACACACTTGAGTTTGCCCAGGATTGCCCTGATCTTTAGAAAGTTGGCTTTTAGGAACATGGAGCTGCCCTATATTAACACTCTTGTTACATATGATCATGCGAAAATATTACCCTCCCATGAACAGCTGTCTATAAATTTAATTTTAAAAATACAATTATTTTATTTCTGAAGGAGCTTGACTCCTATCTCCACCCCAGCTAGGACAAGAAGAGAATCCTACTGTCCCAAGGATTCACATCTACCTCAGAGTACTCCTTCCCATGTTATCTACAAATATGAACAAAGCTTTGCATGCAGTAAATCCACATCTGCCACTGGGGTCATAACATCATTTAATGATCAGCTTCCAAACAAGAAACCCGACAAGTTGACCCAAAGATTGTCATCAGCAAAACTTACAAACCATAAGACCAAAAAAAAAAAAAAGGAAAAAAAAAAAAAAAAGAGAGAAAAGCTGTTGATGCTACTAACTGAATTTCATACACACTGCAACATTAAAGACCCTAAATTAGTTACAAACAAAAAAAGCTGGGATAGTAGAAATAGCAGCATGGAACTCCATATGGGCTGATTTGACTACCTGTCAATTATACTGCCCCACAAATCACAGTGTCAGCATAATTACTAAGCCCCAATACACCAAGTGCATTTTAAATCTAAACACACACTTCTCAGGTTAAACCTAAGTAATCTGATAATGGGCATGTAGGCATGAAAAGCATCCTCTACATAGCTCTGCATATTAAAAAATCGGAGAGAGGAAAAAGAGGCGGCATGCTAGGAGTGAAACCTTATGTCTACTAGACTTCTGTTCAAAGTAGAAGTCTTCATCTCAGTCGTAGGTATAAGCTTCCCACACCATGATTAATTAAACTGTCTTGTTGCTCAAATGGGAGTTAGAAGGGATACAGCAGAACAAGCTTTAACTAGAACCATTGAGTCAAAAGAACAGAAGGCAGTGGGAAACTCAAGAGTGGAATGCAATCCTGTTTGATGAACACATGCTCGCTGGTATCCCACACACTGCTGGTATGGAAGTCACTGCAAAAACAACAGCAACTGACATAGTTCCTGGCAGTATTTCAGCTGCCTCTTTCCTTCCAAGTACTCGCTCACTGAACTACCTGCTTTTCCTAATGCAGGTGGTCCTACACTCCTGCATGTATGCTGTAGCGTCATGGCTTCAGTTTTGAAGAAGGAAAAGCAGCTTCTCTTCACTCTTGATAAAAAATCCCCAGTGAACAAACCAATAAAAGATAACTGCTATTTAACCTTAAAAAAAATTAAGTTGGGAACACTCACTTCCAGGAACAATAAAACTGATGAAGTTATCACATACAAAAGATCCCATTGTTTTATTTCATTCATCTAATTCTTCTGTCCACCAGCCCAGATACTCCACGTGACTTAATTACAACTTTCTCCACATAAAGGGTTAGTATACTTAAAAAGTAGACTAGCCTAAGTTGGCAGGATCGTATTTCCTCATCTACACAACTGCTACGTTTCAAGTTAGATAGCTATACAAAACCAAGAAGAACGAATTACACCCCAACCCCAGGAGCAACTGAGTCAAAAATGTTTTCCCCAAAGTCATTTTTAGCAGTTTTTGTTAATTCTAATGAGCCAAGCAAATCAAAGAGATGCTGGGATAATAGCACCTGTATGACGCTAGTAACAGACAGTTCTCTTTTCTCTGAATCAATAATAAACATAATCAATATTCCCACGGAGTCTGAACACACAGTAGGTAATGGAACAGAATCTGAAGCAAGATCTTAATCTTTTCATTACAGACATCAAGATACTTTCTGTGCAAGCTAAACAGTGACTGTAACCTCAGTGCAGTGAACAGCAATCAGCTCCATTAATTGAGGCAAATCATAATTACCCAATTAGATAGGCTCCTTCTGTCAGTAAAAATTAATTTTCTCTCCCTGCTAGGCTCTGTGTACCCTGACATCACTCTTATGACACATAGAAGGAGAAAGGAAGGACAAATGGACATATTCACTGTTAAGTATGCATAAAAGCTGTTAAGAACACGCATGGACTCTACCTTAAAAGTGTTACAGGGCTGCATAGGCCTGTTCTCACTGAACTACTTTATTTAGCTGGAGGAAAAATGGCTATGTTTAGAGTAAGCATTACGAATTCACCACTGAATCAAGTCTGCTGGTACACTTTATAATGCATAGTGCAAAACAACCTAACACATATGAAAATAAAGCAAAGTCTTGCATGGGTCAGTATTTTCCCTTCATTTGTTTCCCGTTTCAGGAAGATGATGTACTTATCACTAGCTAAAATCCTACTTCTCTGCCACATCCATCCCTCTGGACAGTTACACAGAAGTTATGAAAAACTGGGACATTGTACATTTGCATAGCAGAAACTGAAGGGAAAGTGAATCAACCCTCTATTGTTAAAAATGAAGCAAGTTGTAAGAAACCCTACTACCCGTTCTTCTCTTCTCTACATACCCCCAACTTAACTCGATAGCAACAAGTGTTAGAAACCTTACATTGGGAACAGCCCTCAACGCTGAGGGCTCCCTCAGCCTGTCTCCCTCCTCTCTCCTTGTCTCCATATTCTCAAACCCCTCATAGTATGTTTTTATCTCCTAAACCATTTAATAGTCAATGTAAGCAATACATGTACCTTCTAATGTATCCAGGGTACCTTTATTCCACAGATTAAACTCTATATGAGTTTCCCTATTAACAATATCTCCATAATGACTACAGTATCTAAGCATGACCTTCAACTACCTCAAGATGGTTAGTTTGGTACTCAGCTAACAAAAGGAAGGAATCTGTCTTCCATGTTTCACCCAAGAAGTTCCAGTTTCTCTACCTTGAACATAAAGGTAACCTAAACAACTGGCTCAGAGGAAGATGTCTACAGTGGAGATGACTGAAGTTCACTGAAATGAATACTGCAGCATCAAAACAGCTCAGCCTCATAAATGTCTCATCAGAGCATTCAATGATAAATCACCTTTATTAGCCACTCAAAAAACATTCCTCTAAAAGCAATAAAGCCATGTAATGTGCTCTTTGGGACAATCAGCCAAGGAAGAATTGAGTGTCATCTTTTGCATGAAAAATGATAGCATATCATCATAACTCACTTTGTTTCAGCTATATCAATTAATAAGGCTCTTCATTTGCAGGTCTCTCAGTAGCCAAATTACTGTATGTTCCCCATGGCTAATAAAGACAGCAAGGGAATGCTCTCTTAGATAATAGTCCATTTGTTACTTCAGAAAATAAATTTTTGACAAATGAGTTAGGAAGCAGTACTACTGCAAGATGATTATCCAACATAAACAGGAAGATTACCTAACGCAGTGCTCCAGAGAGCATGTGTCTTCCCCCATATGATTAGATACATTACATATTTCCCACAATTTTGCCAAGCACTACTTACTAGAAGCCTCTGCAGACCCTGCACAGGGAGGTGCAGAAAGGCTTCTTCTGAAAACATGTTCAGAGTTTTCTGTACCAGAAATCTTCAACGTATCTGAAATTCAGAAACAAGTTACGCGAATGTAAACACACGGTACTCCCTAGTAAAATAAATTTCACTAACAGCAAGAACCTCTCCCTACCCACTTTCAAAACTTAAAGGCTGTGTTAAAGGTTTGAAACACTGATGTTAAACATTGTTTAAACCTGCTTCCTGCTTTTGATTTAATTAAAAAAATTTTTCAGGTTCAGAGGCAAAATTCAACTCAATCTATTTTCCTAAGTTCAGCTTCCATACTTACACTTCAACCCAAAAGCCTAGACATATCCAGCAATTCTTCTGCTACTAGAGTGCAGAATTTTCACAGCTCCCCCATGAAGTCAACATTAGGAGCCGCTTCTTCTTTTTCCCTCCCCCTCGCCCCTCGATATCATTAACACCACAGTAATAATTTCCTATTAAAGCTAAGGACTATTCAAAAATATCAAATCTGAAACTGGATTAAGATAAACCCCAACTACTCTAATCAAATAAAAAACCTCTGATGAATAGCACAATTAAAGAACATCACAAAGGACAGTTACAGCACATTTCCAGAAACATTACCTATTTCCTGTGCTTCCCCAGCCTTTTCAAACTTTTCTGCACGATCTTCCTCTGATACATTAGACACTTGTCTTTTCACTGCTTTGCTCGAACTTCCTCCAGATGTTACACTTGCCACAGAGATGAGTGGGATGGCTTGGCTCTGCTGCAAGCAGCAAGGTGAAAAGGCAAACATAAAACACACACCCACGCATGTTAAACAGGACTGGACCCTGTATTGAACCCTGAGGGTACTTCTCCCAGTCGCAGTTATCAATCAAAAACTATCAAGGGTGGCCTTGCAATGATATCTGCCAGCTCCCACAGCACTCCTAGGTGCATCCCATCATGGCCCATGGACTTACATATGTCCATTTTGCTTAAGTATTCCCTGACCTGATCCTCTTCTACCAAGCGTACACCATCCTCTGCACTGTTATAGGCACAAGTGACTCAGTATCATTAACACATCAGGACTTGCTGAAACATACTGATATACATACACAGTGATGCACATACACCAGTTTGAAGTGATGCACTTCTTCAAACTTTAGAAATTTAAGCTTGTCCCCCTCCCCCCAATTCCCCAGGCATCAGCATAGGCTAGACTTTATGGGCTGGTTACAGCAAGTACCTTACTTCAAGTACTGTCATTATTAAATCAATATGCAACATTTACTTTACGATCTTCTGAAAAAGGGAAAACCTCTCTGTGCTAAGTCACAGATACGCTGCATAGTAAGAGCAGACAAAATGTACCCCAAACTTACACAGTTGAAGAGCTCAGTAGTCAGACCAAGGTAGTTGTGCAAAGCGAGGAATGTCACTCTCTGCAGCCTTACCATGATGATCTAGAAATGGCAAATCAAGAAACAACAGGAATGGATTTAGTATTCTCCCACACTTGTTCTTGCATTTAGATAGTTATGTACTAGAGTACCTGAAGGCACTTCAAAAAATACGGACTGTACCCTAAACTGAAATTCCTTTTTAGCAGTTCATAAATTGAGGCAAAGATAGATCCAATCATTTTGATTTACCGAAGACTTCATAATCATTTGATGGCACAAAAATCCAAAGCCTTACTTCCAAACACCAAATAATGCTTTTTGCTTTCTGTAAACATTAATAATGAACATGCCTTGAAATAGATGCATTTGCTTCCATTTCCCGCCCCCCATTAAAAAAATCATTTCAGCTTTCCCGATACAGAGCCTATGCTATTGCTCTACTAACACTCTAAACTAGCATGAGACATCACTGCCACCTGACCTTCCTGTGCCCTGGCAGCTTATTCCCACTCTTAAGCCATCCTCTCTTTTGTATTAGCTCTCATAGAGCAAATTAAATTGGTATAATGATCTGTTCTCCTCAACCATCAGTATTAGGAGGTTCATGTGTCACTCATAAATCATCCAAATAGCAGAACAGTTTGCAAGGACAAAAAGATTTAGAAGGGATAGTAAAACAAAAGGACAGACCAGAATGACTGATCAGGTCACGTGCACCCATTTGACTATTATACCTGTGGGACAATGCGCCAGTTGGCAAACTCTCCAAATTTAAATCAATACACTAGGCCCTGCACTAGCTTCCACTTGCAGGATGTACGAAACATACTTGCAGTGCTCACTTGAAAACTGTCTAAGCTCCTGCAAAGCAAGGGAAGGTGAACTTAAAATTAATACAAAGCACAGCTCTTTCCTCAGGTGCTGACAATTGCTTCTGAAGTGGAAATTCACATGTCAGTCTGAATTTTGTGAATTTTACAACGCATCACACTTCAACAAACAGCTTCTGAGGGTACATCAGTCCTTTTTCAGAATATGGAACTGTCTTCTCCATATTCTAAGCCATTTTGAAGCCTTGTTGGTGCATAATCATAACGCAGAGCCCATGCCAGCACATTCTAGTCCACAGGACCCATGAGCTTACAGTGCAGGTCAGGCTGATTCGAGAGCTTATCACATGCAGAAACTGATATTTTTGTGTGTGTGTGCGCACGCATGTAAGAATTGTTTCTTCCTGTACGTGATTAATGCTGGAATCATTAAGTCTAGTGCTCTAAGAGCGAGAGTAATAGCAGAACTAGTGCAAATCTTGAGAAGAAGCTATACTGAACAGTTCCGTATCTGCAAAAGGATGATGAGCTTGCTGAACTTCAAAATGTCTTCCTTGTAACTTCGAAATTAGAGTGATTTCCCACCCCCCCCAATTCTACTTAACAACAAAGCTTACCTGTACCACTCTAACAAGAGTTTCAGGATATTTCTGGAAGACATCTTGAAAGGCACTTGCTGGAAGTCGCAATATAGTGGACGGAATGGCTGCTCGGGCTGAGACCGTTTTATAGGGAGCAGGGTGACCCTAATAGAAAGTTTCAGAGACACAAGTTTAATCCACCAATTATCTGACCCAATCCTTCCCAATCGCTTCACAAATTTCTACTTTGATATTGTCTATGCTTGACAGACATCATCTGACCACAAAAAGCCTTGAACTTATGCTCCATGACCTACAGGTGGTATAACGAGGGCAGCATGGTCAGGTGAATTCACACCAACAATTTCACTAGCGTGAAACAGAGACAGAGGTAAAGAAATAAGAGTTACAAGAAGGTGTATCAGGTTAAGGGGAACTGGCTAGTTTGTCAACTCTGTTGCAGTTTTATTACAGACAAAGCCAGGCTTCAGAAGTATTTCAACTTCCAACTATTCAAGACTGCAGAGAAAGAGGGTTTGTTGATTTCGTTACCTGTACTGATGACCAAGCTATTTGCTGCAATAACAATCATGGACTCACACAATCAACAAAAAATATAACAAAATTGTATAGTAATTACATAATGGAATAAGACAAAAGCCAGGCAGACTTCTTGTGTTCTAAGATATATATATATGTATCTTCATATACATTCATAGATATATATATGAAATATTCCAAATGACAAAGCCAAACAGCTTCTCTTTACTTGAGATAAACTGGGTCTAGCCCATCCTGAGTTGCTCCATCTGTTGGAGCATGGAGAATTAACAAATGAATGAAAGATAAAACTGTAAATGGGTAGAATACAGAGATTTTTACACTGGAAGGCAAGCCTCTGGTTTAGGATTTTCCCCTTAAACCAAAATAGATTTTAACAAAAATCTACTGCCAAACACTTGGATAAAAAACGCCAAACAACATCCCTTCTACTCCACTAGTAGATGCTGAAAAGAATATCTATAGGTCATGAATTCATTTACTAATATATGACACTGATTTATCCAATATTTCTAAGATAAAACGAGTCCTTTTGTGCAAGAACTAAGGAGGAAATGGAGCTTCTACTTGAACACAGTCACAGCTTCTGAAGCTTTCATTCCTCCTGAGCAGCAGAAGGCAAATTTTTCCAAACACTAAAACACACAGATGCTAAATGCTGATTACAAACGGAAAAACTTGCAAGTATTCCAGAGCATCAGACAACTAAACACAATCACTGCAAAAGAATTTCTGCCTAAAAAACACACCAAAACCAAACCAGATACATTCTGTACAACTACAACCACTCTGGAAAATAAAGCTACAGCTCTGTCTGCCTTGCTGGTCTGGAAGTCATGATGAAGCAGGTTCTAAAATTAAATTAAATTAATTGGAACCAATTACTTACTTAATTACACCAACTTCAGCTGACCTTTTTACAAAATCTGGGGATGATATTAATAGCTTTGATTTTCAAGTTCCTGAGGGATTTGAAATTTTAAACATCTCTGACCTACACTGCAAAGCTACCAGGCGTCCTCAGTTTTCCTGAGTTTCTTTTAATTAAGTAAAGAAATCAACATATTACATTTCTGTGCCTTTTGCTCTACCAAAAATAAATGCAACATTCCTCTTTGACAGGCCAGTTTAAAGCCTGGCTTCAGACGAAGAAGTATTTGGAATTCTCCTTATACTCAAATGTAAAAGAAACTTTATATTTAAGTATATACATCGCTATACTTGCCATCAACTGTATTTCCTACCGATTTCTATACCAAATACATAGTGAAAAACTAAAGAAATCTATTACATCTTTAAATGCTTATCCTTTGTCCAGCAACAACTTTAACAGTGTTCCATAACAGTTATTCAAAAGGGCAAAATAAGCAATGTATATCACATTTATATGGTCTACATTCTACCCAGTAAAGCATTTGGTGTATTTTTGGAACGGTGCTTGTTTGAGGACAGATCAATGCTGACAGTCTCTCAGAAAACCAGTTTAAGGATAATAACGAAGAGTGATGCAGCAGCCTTTTTCTCCACAGAACAGCCTATCCCTCCAGTTTTTCAGCATATAATGTTTCCTTTTCAAAATCCCTGCATGAGAGCAGCCTGCTTTTGAAAGGGCCAACCACCATGTCTAATTGGTCTGAACACGCTAAAAGCTGTCAGAGGAACGTGAACAGGAAACGTTCCCGTAATTGTCAGTTCTCTCAAATATAATGTAATCAGCCACACACAAAGAATACGACGTTTAAATTATAATATTTTACAATCACACACTGAGGTCACAAGGAACAGTTAAGTTATAATCAGTAGTGAACTAGGGGTTTTTCAACAGAGAACTTTTTGTTCTCAATGTGGATAACTATTTACTTCTGTCTTGCTCTAAAAGCTGTGGAGTAATTAAATATTGTAGGTGACCAACATCACAGCTAAAGTAGAAGTTGAATCCAGATGACAGCCAATGGCCAAATCCAAATGAATTTGGTTAAGAAATCCGCTATGAGAGACACAGGTGCCTTATATTCTCCCACTTTGAGTGGTGACTCCTTTTTGCACCCAAAAATCTGGCATGTTCTCTCTATTCCCATTGCTTGGATTTCACTTTCCTCCACACTACACCGACATTGCTGCAACCCAAAGTTCTTGCAGCAATCGCAGCAATCAATTGCTTCTTTATAACCTCATCTATCTTGTCCACTGTCATTAAAACAGACTTGAGCCCTGCAGGCTCACCTTTATCCAAGTGTTTTTTCAGCTTCTTTTAATCCTCAGACTTTCATTTTTTTTCTCCTCAGTCACTGGCAATTGATCAATATTCCTCCCAGTCTCTTCTTTTTCATTCCAACTATGCCATCTGCTCACAGTTTTCCAAATACCATCTCCACATGGAGGACAAAGAGTAAAACCCAAAGCTCTAGCAATCAGCATCAATCGCCATCTCTATTTGTCCTGTTTAACTCTGAATGAAAATTCACCATTCAGGAAACAGATCTGACTGCACATCGGGGTCGAGTGAGCACTCAGCAACAGCTTCTGAAAACACTCGCATGGATATCACCAATGTTCAGTTCAGAGACTTCTTTAATATTTGAAGCAGTATCAATTCAGAGTCAGATTAACTACAACACAGAATTGTTCCAAAATACCAGGAAAGGGCTAGCATCCACCTGGATTCAAAGCCTCCAATTTCTCCCTTCAAGTTTTGAGAAAGCAGCATTTATCTGTTCTCAGAATAAGTGAAATACAGTACAAGTTTCTCATGTCACAGCTGGTATCTTTTTATTTAGTAGATCTAAGGGGACTTTTCAATTTAAAATATTGGAAAATTAAATTAGAAAAGTACCTCTTGCGTGACCTTTATTTTAGATCCAACAAGCAGAGGTCGCCACTTCTTGCAGCAACCTCAATTTTCTCGCACAACTCTCAACCAAGTGGGGGACCAGCCTGACGTCACGTGTTACAAAATCAGTCAAAGGAACCACAAATTCAGCTCAGACAACTCAAATCTTCTCTGAATACATTCTTTCCTCATGTCAGATCCGTGTGTTTGGTGGTACAGTGAAACTTAATTAAGGTTATGGTATCTGCAGGAAGTTCTAAGACTCATTCACTAATTTGGAATGCCACTGAGAAGTCTCCTCTGTTTTGATCAATGCTTCTTTCTCTCTCCTTGCCCATTTTCATGCTACTCCTACACCTAAAGTCAGCAAGAAGCATAAGAAAGAGGAAAAACAGAAATCAAATAACCAGTTCACAGAGCTGGGAAAAAAGGGAGAAAAGAGAGAGTTGTAAATATAAATGAGAACAAGTTACTTTAGCAAAAAAATTTGCAAGGTTTTTGGTTATATACTCCTCTGCATGCTGATAACTCTTTTCAACACACTTTCAATAATTTTTATTTTCTGATTTACCAGTGGTATAACTAATGAGAAAGAGAAAAAAATGATAGAATGAGAAATAAAAAAAAAACCACAAAAAACACAACACAAAATGAATGGCAACCATCCTTTAAATAAACAAATCCACAAACCATTGTTATACAATAAGGATTTCTTCTTGTTTATTCAAAAAGAATATAGAAAAAGAACATGACTAGTATTCATGTTCCCATACGATGGTCATGCTCTTCAGAATATTAAGAAAATTTACTGGTGGAAGTAACAATGGCAAAAATACCTCTAAATCTGTTATTAATATGGATTTGACAGCAAGAACTAGACTTGTACAGTCCAAATTATTCACGTGCCATTACTTTCTACAGAAGAAGGTATGACCAAGCTTAAAAATTGTTTCTCACTTTCGGTAGGTTTTATGGAAATTAGATAGATAGATAGATGCTTGCATCTAAAAGTGGCAAAGAACACTTTACAAAATCATTAAAACTACTTACACAGAATAACAGCACCTTTTAATGAAAGGAGACAGCCAAGCACAAGAGAAACATGATACAAGGTCAAACACGAACAACTTATTGATTAGATTATCTTCATCCTCCTAACTACCAAAATTCTTCAAGCAAGCACTTTAAGTGCTTGCGTATTATCGAAGATTATGAATTCGCCACCTTCAATTTAGGTATTCCTAAATAGATGCACTGTGACAATTTCAGCAAAACCATCATTGTAATTCCAACTGAAACAAAATCCATGCCACTAATTTGTGCAATTAATACGACCAGCTAGCATTTAGCTCATCTTGTCGCCTGCTGAAGACCACAACCTTCAGATGGTCACCAGCAACATTAACATATTAGGAAAAAATTAAATCCATCAACTGGTTTCACAGTATAATTACAATAATTACAACTGTCAGATTTATTTTCATTAGACTAAATAAAAATAAATTCAGTGAGTAACAAATCAAACAGTGTAAAACCCTGGCCTTCTGGGCCCTAACCTGGTCCTCCTCCTGACTGCTTTGTGACCTTGAGCAAATCAAACCATACCTCACTTTTCCAGCCATAAAAGAATAATTCAAATCCTACTGCTTATCAGAAATAGCCAGTGTTACACCGTCAAGCGTACATATTTCACAACCAACTTACATACCACAGAGCTAAATTTACAGCTGTGAAGGCCTGGGAGGAGGCAAAGAACTGGTCAAAGAAACTTTCCATTCCGATTATTTCTTAGCAATATTCAAAGTCTACTTCCCCCGACAGGCTCTGTGACATAAAGCAGCACTGCAGAAAACCTGCACGTTCAAGAACTTACCGTGATAACATCAAGAATGCTGAGAAGGCTGTGGACGCTGTCTCCTGCCAGCACCTCCTTAACAACCACTTCTGTTCCATCCTGCAAGTGTAGGATAGAAGATTACTGCAGGCTCACAGTTGCATATTTGGCATATATGGAGCATTTCAGAAAGCTTAACTTGCTCTCATTCTCCCAGATACTCTGAACAGCCCTAACAGAAATGGTCCCCCATTATAACCTGGATGCTTGTTTTCTCTCTACTCTGATGGAAATGTACTAATTCAAACCACCAAAGTTTGAAACTACCATTCTAAAAGTGATAAATTAAAAGAAAGTAAAAGCCAGTTTTATGTAGGGGGAGATGTGACCTGCTTGTCTTTGCTATGTAACAACAACAACAACAACAACAAACTTCCTTCACTCTGAGACAGAATTAGCTCCCTTTATTGAGGGATTACATGTCAAGAGGTGGTACAAAACAAAGAACAGCAAAATGCAAAAATATACAGAAATCAGCAAATTTGGGATAATATACAAGCACAAAACCCCTGCATTTTCCGCCATCAGAAAACTGTTCACATGTTAAAGCTAAACTCAAAGTGGAAGAAGGACCAAAAAAAAAAAAAACAACTAAATTGGCAGAAGGGATCGCAAGGGCTAGCACTCAACATTTTAAGACTCACCGATAACACAAGCCATCATTTATTTTCCCTCTCTACCCAAAACTGAATCTGAATCTTCCATCTCCCAGGCAAACCCACTAACTACCATGCTAGAATATTTTGGAGTGAAGCATACTTGGTCTCTCCTGATCTGTACATCTAACTATTTTATATAACTACCATCCAAAAGGAGAACGTTTCCAACGCTATGCAAAGCCAATCTTGCACCCTGTCCTCCCTCAATAACTATGCAACTAGAGTAGGTGAGGACATTTCACAATGCCTGATCAGCATTTTGTTTCACTCTCTCATCTAAAACACGGGGGATGACAGCTCAAAACCTTGATCTTTATAAATATCATGGCCCTGAAGGGTTGGAAGTAATCCCTTCTAAATCACTACAGTTCAAATGTCTAAGCTTAATCAATACTTAATGATGCATGCCAACCTATATGCTATGCCGACAGATTGATCTCAAGAACCATGGACCAGTTTATTCTTACACTTTCTTGAATGCAAACTTCCAGCTTGCCGTCCTGCACAACGTAGATGCTGTTATCCAGCTGCCCAGGACGAAAGATGTATTCACCTTCATGCAATTGCACAAAAACCATGTGCTTGCACAGTTCCAGGAAAAGAGGTTTCTCAAAGTGGCCAAGGACCCTACAGGAAAGAAAACAAGATATTAGCCTTTTTCCCTTTTCTGCAAAGGGAAACTTAAAATCGTCACTGCCTTTGGAAAATTATTCCTAAATTAGCAAAGCCCCCAAGCATGAATAGCAGAGGAACCCCAGAGGCAGTTGTTGCATGGCAGTTCAACAGCATGGCAGAAGGAGCAGAGCTCCCCAAGACAAGTGCAAGAGTACTGAGAAACACTGAAAACTGTAAATACTGGAGTTCCTTTTTGAGTAGCAGTCTGAGCAATGCTCAGAAGGAAGTATATCCAGTCTTCCTCAAGCAAACACCAGCATGAAGAGGTGTTCGTTTGAAGGGGAAGAAATATAAAAACATGCAAGATTCACACACTGTGTGAGAAAACTTTCCCTTTTCATACAGCTACCCTGTCCACGTAACCAGAACACATGAGAAATACTGAAAACAAAGGGAAAAATTCCTGTCATCTGTACGTACTTGTAAGTTTGGAATACTCCATCTCCTGCAGGTAACATGCAACTGAACCCCTGTGATACTGAAACTAGTCAGTCATTACCAGGCAGACAGAAATATGTGTCTTAAACGTGATCATTCTGTGCACGACACCAGGAGGGCCCTTCATACAGCTCCATTAGCTCACATTTAACAGGATCAATCAATCACATTCTACTGCAACATCCAATTAGTCATAGGAGATCACAATTCCACAGTAGAAAGTTTAGATCATTTAAATAGCAGTTTTATTACAGTATGTATGACCTTCAGAACTAAACTATATCATAATTGGGAGAAAAATGAACATACACAAACAAAACCAAAGTTACAGGTCTGAAGACCTCATCCTCTTTGCTGTGTCAGCAATATAAACACTTGACTGAATGGGCACAAAGACCATCCTTACCTCTCAACCCGCCAAAGAGCTGTGGGGATTAAGTTGACTTTGATTCTGTTTGCAACCTCTTTAGCCAGAGAAATAAGAGATTCTGCAGTTTAGAGAGTTGTCAATATGGTATCCAATTAACATTTACCAATTATGATGCCTTTCTCTACCAAAAAATTGGCTGATATAGTCTAAAGGGAATTTTAAAAATGTACTAACAGAAATCTGTTCATGTTAGAAAAGCTTTATTATCATTATCCCCAAATTCAGGCCACTAATCTACGTCCTTTTTTTTTTTTCTTCTTTCTTTTTTTTTTCTTTTACACACACTTAACTATTTTCTTAATGTTTCTAGAAAATTAGAAGTAATTTATTCTTTCCTCATGCTCAGATGAACTTTCAGTCAACTGCTTAAAGATTTTGACCATGCATAAAATTTAAGACTTGACATGAACTGCTAAATATCCGTCAAAACCAAAATCCAAACTTATCGTTCCATTTAACATTACCTAACATTTTTAAGCATGTATAGGACTTCCAATGGCAAATGGGAATTCTTTACATCGAATTCAGTCAGATCTGCCTCTAGCAAAGAGGGAGGTGGCTCTTTTGGCTGTAGAGTTGGACGCTCCTTCTTAATACGCAGAATCCTACAAGGAAAAAGACAAGTCAAAGTTGAGGAAGTTTCCTCATTTGTCTTAAATATAGGCTGTATACTGACACCATAGGTTGACTGCAATACTGAATGCACACCATGCCAAGCTACACATTATCAAGTAGATAAAACAGTAGCATTCCACCCTCTAACTGCTCCTTTCCCACCTTTCTTCAGCAACACTAGAAACAGTGCTGTGTGCATAAACCACTCCATTTCAGCAAACTTCCCAGCAAAATGCAAGGCTGATGCACAGCTGACAGGACTGTGAAAAAACAGTAGCTATGGAAAAGCGCTATGCTAGGGATAGGTTCCACACCACAAACAAAAAAACCCACAAAACCAGACTCCCCTTCCCAAAAGCCCAAGTACCTTTTAGCCAAAGATAAAACTTTTGCCCGCTTCCGCATCCTTTGGCGAGGCATGGTGTTCCCAACCAGAGAGTCTGGAAGAGTTGTAACCTAGGAGGAAATAATGAAAACAAAAACATTTACTAAAAACACCAAAACAAACAAAAAAATTCCCAACCCACTAGTTCCCACCCTGCAAAGGCTCCAACTTAGCTAGCAAGTCATTAGAACATGAGCAGAGTGAAGCACTCGTATAAGACCTTAGAGGATTGGAACACCACCTACTCCAGGATCACTTTCTTTCTAGAAAGCAAGTGGACTATATTTTGATTTTAATAAGCAATGACTACAGTGGTAATGGATGGTAGAGGGGAAAAAAACCCTTAGCTATACAGTTCTCACTCAGCAACACTCAACATCAGGCAGAGAAGTAACATTCAAAGCTCCAGTACTCCTACGGCAGTCTGTGATGATGACAAACCAGGGTCTGGTTCATTTTTGAACTGGTGACAAACAGCAACACAGACATACAGCAAGGCTTTTACTTGTTTTTAACAGTTACTAAGTGCCACCTTCTGGAGAAATGCAACAACTGCAAGACCAAGGAAAAAAATCTCATTAGTTACTTTGAAAACATTACTAGTTCTCTGTTTCTCAGGGAGTTTAATCGCAGGAAAAAGTTTCTCTCACACACAAAAAAAATTAGTTTGGAGACTCACTTTTGGGGGTTTTTTTAGAAAGCAAAATTTTGGTATTTTATCAAAAAGTACATGAAGTACAATCAACAGTAGTTAGTTTGTAATACTCTATGTCTTATTCAGGCATAAAGGCAAAAAGCAAGGTCTAAAATGCCAAACCAAAAAGTACCAGAAATGATTTTACCATGTGTAAAGCATACTGTGTGTTACATACAAACAACTGCGTTAAAGAACATTAAAATCAAAAAGTTGCTGGCAACACACAATTTCTTTTCACTGGGGGCTTTTTTGACCAAGTTCTACCTGAAGCCTGATCTGCAATGCAAAAGCAAGGTTCAGGGAATAATCTTCCCCCTCCACAGTGAACCGCAGCCCCAGAACCAAATATTAAAAACAGCACAGTGTCTAATTATTAAGTCCAAGTATTTGAATTCACCTCAGCGAAGTTTAGCAGTGTGTGAGGCAGAAGGCTGCAGTTCACAAGAGGAAGTGTTCTTCAACAAGCAGTGACTGACAAAGCAAGGTTACTTACCTGTACCTTATTTTTTTCTACAGATGTTGTTTTTAAGTGCCCTAGCAATGTGAGTGCACACCTAGACTCGAGCAGGTCATCCCACAGGGCACAGCTAGGACACCCCACGTTCTGCCTTCGGTCCCAAAAGGGGCCAGTCCCAATCCTGCCTTGCAGCTCCCCTGGGTTGGACAGTCCACCAAACCCATACCCTGGTTCTGAATCTACAAGACAGTGGGCAAGGAGCACTTATCGCAGTCAGAATTAAATAGCCTTCTCCTTCATCAACCATGTCTATCTACAGATACAAGCAAGCAATAACCATTTGCTACTCTGAAAAGGGGTCAGAGTCCCCACCTGAGTAAGAGGCAGCTTTCCAGAGTCCGGCTTTATCAACTATATCATATATACTAAAACTGCACATGGAGTTTCAAGAAGTTGCTACATAGATTTTGGTATGGGAAGTCTTGAGTAAGGAAGTCACCTTGAACTCCAGGACATATTACACAAGCTTGTAACAAAACCAAATGCAAAATCTCTGCACTCACACAGCCACTCATGGCAACTCTGAAAAGATGAGTTCTTTTGACCATGGTGGTACTGTCAATAAGAAAAAAAAAAAAAGAATCTCACATTCCACATACACTAAGTGGATTCAAGGGAAGCATGTATTTTGAGGAGAAAGACAGGAAGATTAACCTCCTCCGTTAAATGAAATCCAGGCAATCAGTGGTGAACACCTAGCATGCCTACTAAGATTAATCTAATCCATTAAAGGAAATACCTGTCTTCAGATTTCCTCAAGCCTTCTTGATGCAATTTCCCAAGAAAAGCCACTTGCAAAGACAAAAGTAAAAAACAAACAAACAAAAAATGGAACTAAATATCAAACAGGCAGCCATAGACTTGAAGGATTTAACCAACTGATGCCGAAACAGATTCCTGACTGATGGAAAATTCTTGAGGAAACCTTTCAGAGTAATAGGACAGGACAACATCAGGACAGGAACCTGAGCGCACAGGTATTCCTTGTGACAATCCAAGGCAAAGAGGTCAATCTTGAGATAAACCCCTCTTGAACAGTCTCTAATGAGTCCTACTTGCAATTCATAACAAGAAAACAAGGGCTCATATGCTGAAGTGCTTAGTGCTCTTCACAGGTAGACTGCAGAAAGGTAAATTCGAGTATCTGCTCCGCAGACAGACTCACACGGGAAAGAAGGTGTCAGCTTTGAATGTAATGGCAGTACTGGAAGTCATTATCTGAAAGGGACAATCCTGAGGCACTGAACATCTTGAATACAATCCTAAATACTGAGAAAGACAGATTACTATAGATTTATGAAAAACCATCAACTCTACAGTGGAGTTAGATTTACCCCTACCCTCAATGTCTGCAAATATTCTTGAAAGAGGTAAGGTCTGGCCAGAAAGAGAAGCTATTGCTGTTCCATCAGCAATTCAGGCAGAATTCCAAGAGCTCTGAAACATCCCCAAAATTCCAGTGAAATTTTATAGGTTGAAGGCCCTGGGCCAGGCTAAGCAAGTGAAGCATTTCAAAGTTTACAACACCTCCCAAACTGGATTTTAATCTTTACTTCCCTCCCACCGTGGCAGATGCACTTACCTTTCTCATGATCTTCCGCCCATAGAACATCACTTTGTCTCGCTTGCGAAACCTGTACTGAGGCACACGTGGCTGAAGTTGTTCTGAGAAAGAGAACCATCACGTCAGAAACTATCTGCAGCTCTACGCTAAGGGGAACAAAACTGAGCACAGGCTGCCAGTTTTGCTACCTCCGTAACAGCTGCAGCTCTGTCTACCAAGTAGCAAGCTCTTGTGGCCAGCATTTGAAATTTAAACCAACACAAGATACCTCATTATCCAACTCTGGTTAGCCACACCAGACTAGGGAAGAGCTGGCTTGAGGCTCTACCTAATCACTGAAGGAGATAAAAAGGCTCTCTAAACAGATACAAGGATCAGGTAATTTTAATCCCACAGAGGAAACCTCTAATTCACCCGTTTCTCATTACTATAACAGTGAAATCACAGCAAGGTTGAAATTATTTGCATGCCAACTGGTACTAAGGCTACCATACACGAGAGAAACAAAAACCTCCAGCGTCCTGCACGTGACAGTTATGAATTCTACGTTCAGATCTGGGTAAGCGAATCAACAGAAGTTCTCCATCCTTTTAAAGCTGTTTTCCTGCAAGAACCGCTACCTCCACAGCAAGCAATTATTACAAATAGGCACAGAATCTACCACACATTGTTACAAAAATACTGGAGATAACTGAGAAAACTGCTTTTAAAACATACACAGTTACTTACTAGATTGTTTCACTCTTCTGTAGACGACAAACACAACAATCGCTATAAGTAATAAGGCGACTGCAGCTCCAATTGCAATTCCGGTCAGCTGTGAGAGGAATTTAGGGGGGAAGGAACTTAGTAACTTCTAAAGTTGAAAAATTAAGTACTTTTTGGAGGGCTGAAGAACACTTAGCTCAGCAAGATGTCTGTAAGTCAACCACATTCATAAATACTTATTTTTTAATTAAAACATTACACATGCAAGAAGTTTAAACTACATCAGTGTCTCACTCATAAGCTCACATGCAAAATATTCAGCATTTTCATAAACTCACATGCAAAATATTTAGCATTTTTCTCCCCAAAGATCTGTGAGCTGATCAACTCAATGCATGTGGGATGAAATAAAGGAATTAACTCCTGCCTCATGCACAGTGACAGCAAAGAAACGAACACTCAGACTTCGACTGTGACTTAGTAGAGTTCCTAGAACTTACGAGAAGCTACACACTATTTATGCACACACAATATTTCATCCAGTTGATTAAAGCTATACATTACCATAGTAGTCTGTATTCTGTCTTCTACAAACTGAAGAATTCGTGTTCCACCTGCTGGTAACGCAGCCTAGCACCAAAAGGAAGGCAAAATTAGTTTCCCACAACAGGCAAAAAGCCTCCATAAAAACATCTCAGTGCCTGGTCTGGGACATACAATGCAACTCGATTGTATTTTCCAACATCTTTCTTTCAACTATAGCCAACTTTGCAAACACAAGACATTCAGTGGAGAGGGGTCACTGGTGGAGTTCTACATTGGTGTCAGTTCAACGCGCTCCTAAATAGTCCTCAAACAGTAAGGTGATAACTTTTTTTGATGATTCTATGTTATTCAGAGCAACAAGGACTAGAATTGAATGTAAAGGACTTTATGAGACTGAGAAAATAACTCATAAAACAGCAGATAAAATTCACCATAAAAAGAAAATTATGAACATGGGAAAAGCTCCAACCTCAGGTATACAGTCCTAGGACTTGTGCCGACTATTGTTATTCAGGAAAAAAATCTGGCAGTTACAATAGTCTCACAAATGCCAGCTCAAAACTTACCAGAACGGGGAAAAAAGCAAACCAAATATTAGGAACAAGTAGGAAACAAACCAAGTACAAGGTCAGATATGTCCCTCTGTAAGTCTTGAACCTTACAAGTACCTGAATCTTAAGTACTACACGCAGTTCTGGTCCCAGTTTTTGCTCTCAGTTCCAGATCTGGATAACCTCTTAATTTAGCTTTGCCACCAAGAGAAAAATGAAGCACACGCCGAGTCGCCAAACTAGTCTCCCTCACGGAATTCATTCCAGTTCTACAGAGCAAATAAAACTCCTGCCTAACCACTCAACTCAAACGGATTGCTGTCTTAAGTTTGTCTTCTTAGCTTGCTTTAACACAGCCTATCGACAATTTATCTTCCCAACGTTAAACTAACTCTATCACTAAGTCAAACTAACTCTATTACTACTATTATCAGACTATTATTAGTGGGATTGTAGTGGAAAGTCACAAGAATTTGGAAAAAAAAAAAAAAAAAGAAGTTTAAAATTTGTTAGCAATAAATACAACACATTCTGCTAAAACACAGCAAGTTCTTGGTATAAGTCTATTGTGGTCACTTAATTTATTTCCCCTTGACAGTGTCAGAGACACACACAGTTCTGCTACTATCCAGGCCTGTATGATCTCAAATAACATCAAAAACAGTAGTTGCCAACTAACAGTCACATTGCTGTTACATGAGGAAAAGAAACAAATTCATGAGCAAAAGAATTAAAACACACATGCACGCATGGAGTCCTCATGCCTTAATACAGAAAAACAATGAGGGAAAGGAAAACTTCAGACTTCCAAGGAAAACTGCAAGGTTCTTGCGAGGTTTCTCACAAACACCGGTGAAAACTTGATATTCCCCCCACATACTCTGCGGGGTGTCTTTTCAAGCACTGACAATCCTTCCAGAAAAGCAGAGAAGGCAAGCAGGCAGGTTGCAACCGTACAGACTCTTGAGACACAGCAGTTATCGTTATATGACAGCATCTGGGATGGGTATGAGGTCACGGTGAAGTCATGAGTTCTATAAGGGCCCTCCCATCAGCCCAAGCCTGCAGGATGTCTCTTAGGAGGGCTACAGCCAGCACCGAAATTCAAGGACTTCATGCATGCCTTACACACCCTCAAACAATTCCTGGAGACAAAACACGTGTGGAACAACCCTGGAAAGACCCTCCCTTCATCAGAAAATGGAGCAATGATATGCTAAGAGTATCTATTAGCATAAATAGCATTTGCCTGCTTTTTCCAATAATGTTGAAATTTCATTAAGAAAATGAGCATTAACAAAAATACACAGCTACATAAATAATGCTCATGCTCATCCAGAGTACCAAGCACAGAACAAGCAGCCCTGCTGAAAGTTCAACAACTTTTCACACTGCAATCAAAGGCAAACAGTGAGACATACCCCCAGTAGGGAGGGGTGGAAAACGCTTATCAGCGCCGAAAGCAAGGCCTTAAAATCAAGATTGCCCAAATCATCAGACTTCCTTGTAGCTCATAAGCACACGGGTCCACATGCCTACGTCTTGACTACAGATACTGGATCTTCACAAAACAGTTTTTAAGTGCATATGAGTAGGTTATATGTATTTTTTAATTCTGAGAAGAAGTATTTCCTGCCATGAGCCTTGCCTTTCATTACCATGAAAAGCATCACGTGCCTTGTTGGCATGTGAGTTTCGTATTTATGATTAACAACAAATACAAGAAGACCTAGCTGCCGCAGAATTCTGCAATTCTTCCACCTTCAGGTGAAAAACGTACTGTTGAAGCAAAAGGTACTTAAATCGTGTCATTCTGCTAACAGCTTCGAATATGAAGCAGAGTGTGAATGGTTTGCAATAAAAAAAAAAAAATTTTAAAAAAGTAGTAATAAAAACATGCACATAAAAACATAAAAGAATGGGACCAATCTTCAAATTTTTGGAAGGATAAAACTCTTAGCAGGAAAGGAGCTTTCAAAGTAAAAGCACTGCATCTAAAGATATTACCCAAATGTTATCAAATTAGGTACAGTAGCTCTCAGCTTCTGGAAATACTAGCAAGGAAATAAGTATGTCCAAAATAACAGTAAAGCATACTGTACCTCAAGGCTGGTGATGTTGCCTTCTTCATCCATGTCTGGAGGTATAGCAGGAGCAAAAATAAAGAAAAGAGAAGACCAAGTTAAGAGATGACCGCACTTTCTAATCCAAAGTCTTTTTAACTCTGCAACACAAAGCGTACCAGAACTGCTCTTCCAGTTTGGCAGAGCAAGACAATTCAGGGGGAACAACTATTTTTTTTTTTTACTTCATTCTCCCTTTTTCTGTGTGTTGAGCAACAAAAACCAGCAAGTCTCCAAGGAGAAGCAGAGCTACAGTGAGGACAGCTACTGCAGTCCTCTGGGGAGCGGCACGACAGGACTTCACTCGAACGCCCAGGGACGCGGCTGCGTCTCCGCTCCCTCTTAACGAAAACGTTAAACGCTGAGAAGGCCCCCGGGAGCGAGGAGCCCCCCGCCAGGCGCCCACATCCCAGGGGAACACACACCCGGGGCACACACAGAGCGATCTCTGGGTTACGTTTCTTTAAGGAAAATGCAAATACCGGGTTTCAACCGCACGTCACTCGCTGACACGGGGACACTCGACGCTTCTGTTCCGGGGGAAAAGCCCTACAGA